GCACCCCCCACCCCCGCCCACACATGTAACAACTCTACCTCCAACTCTACCCGACCTGACCTGTCCCCGCACATGCCACCCAGTCCTCGTCCCGACCTCGTCCCTCCCACTTCCCTCGCTCTCTCACCCCAAAGCCCGACCACGACCCCGCCCCGGCCGGGCTGCCATGCCTCGCACATGTCCATCATCAACTTGATCTCAATCTCCCTCACGGCCGACAACGACGCCCGCTCACCGCCAGTCCACTTGCACCGCACATGCCACAGCACAGAACACGTCCTGGCCACACTGAAGGCAATGATTCCCTCCCACCGCTGACCCCCTGACAACCGCTAACCTCCCTGATCCCCACCCTGAGTGCCTCGCGAAGCAAGCCTGAAGCCTTTCAGGATCATCCATGGCAACTATCTCATCACTGGTTTGACACAAGTCGGGTACGTACTCACACTCATCAAGTGCGTACTCTGTGTACAATGGATGTACCGGACGTGAAACGCCACTGTCTGGGCTATGTGATGACACGGAATGTCCTCACCACACTTCTGTTGCAGTGGAAAGTGTCGTGGTAATTAGCATGGGCTTGTGGACTGAAGCACGAGTTGAGAGTCGGCAATAATGACCATGCCCTGCCAAACCATGCTTGCCGTTTCGAAGGTATTGCAGTTGAAAGGGATTGCTGAGACGACTCTGGCGCAAGTTAGTTCTCGTCTCTAGCTGTCTTGGTTCTGGAGTTACAGGCAGGACAGAATCCCGAAATCCGAACTTTGACGGCCAATAACTCGGGAACTAGTTAAGATACAAGTGCCATTCAGGGTGCATTCTGGGCCGTTTGGAAGGGCCCTTGGAGCCGTGTAAAAAAGTGGAGGTCGGGTCGTTTCACATTCGCGTCCGAAAACTTCAAATGGCTATTACAACCTCAATAACGAAGTTTCAGCAACGAAACAAGTCATTTCGGAACCGTCTGAAAATACACTACCTACCCTGGAAAAACGGTAGGGCTAGGATGGGATGCACACTTGGGTGTCTTGGGGGTCGTGGGCAGTGGGTGGTGGCCTATTGCCTGCATATGGCCTCATGCCCATCATGGTTGCTGCATATCGCCAACCTACGGGGTCGTATCACTGCTAGTTGCACCGTATGGACAAGCTATGGCATCATATCACCGTCCATTGCATCATAATGGTGTCATACAGCATCATTATGAAGTCATATGACGTCGTATCACTGCTGATTGCGTCATTGGGCCAATGAACGGCATCATATAACCATGTATTACGTCATAGTGGCAACATGCAGTGTCATATAGCATGATATGGCGTCATAGTGATGTCATACGGTGTCATACTGACGTCATATGGCGTCATATGGCATCCTATAGCATCATATGGTGTCATATGGCGTCATATGGTGTCATAGTGATGTCATATGGCATCATATGGCGTCGTATGGTGTGATAGTGACGTCATATGGCGTCGTATGGTGTGATAGTGACGTCATATGGCGTCATATGGCGTCGTATGGTGTCATAGTGACGTCATATGGCGTCGTATGGTGTCATAGTGACGTCATATGGCGTCGTATGGCATCGTATGGCGTCGTATGGTGTCATAGTGACGTCATATGGTGTCATAGTGACGTCATATGGTGTCATAGTGACGTCATATGGTGACGTGGGCAAAGGTGGAGGCAGGTGGGCGAAAAAGCATATAAGCACCCACCCAGAGGACTTTTCCCACCAACCAAGTAGTCCATAGTTACGTACAATGCCCTCTCATAGTGATGCAGTCCATAGTGTGGGTGGTTCTCCTGTGGAGTCCCCTGCAGTGTCTTCTGTAGTAGCTAGTACAGTCCATAGTGCGGTGGATACCCCTGCGGGGATCACTGCTGATAGACTTGTAGTAGATAGGGCGGTGTGTTCTCCTGCGGGGAGCCCTGCCGGTAGTGGTGCCGGGACTAATGCGGGTGCCCATGATGCCCCAGGCCGGTCAGCAATTGGGGCGGTGGCTATCATCCCCTGCGGCCCTTGTGTCAGAGCCAAGAAGACATGTGTCAGGGCTACGGCGGGGCAGTGTGAGCTGTGCAAGGCGCAGCATAACACCTGCAACATAGACGGGCGGGCACCTCGTACCCAGAGCACACCCGGCAGCGGCAGCACCACGGCCCCCAAGCCCAAGCGGAAGCGCCCCACCCTTGCAGAGCAGCGGGAGCAGCTGAGCACGTGGCGGAAGAAGGTCCAGGCCATCCGGGCCCAACTGGAGCGCACCACGGATCGAGCCACCAACCGGGTCCACGACAAAGAACACCCTATTACGGCACGTGAGCTCGCCATCCTCATGGAAGACATGACGGAGGATCTCGCTGAGCAACTCACCTCGGTCAGCAAGATGCTGCAGAACGCTCGGGACCGACTCTGAAGAACGACTATGAACGAAACTGAATCCGGATCCGGCTACGAAAACGACAAAACCACAAACAAATCGAAATAACGACAAAGCTCCATAGATAAAAATACAAAAAACATAAAATCGTAGGGTGGGTGGTTGGCACTATATAGTATATGAATACACATAGCTATATAACGTACAGTTGCACGTGTCGTGGCTGCCAGCGGGTGATGGTTAGTAGGCGCATCCTGACACTGGGCATGCTCAACTCGCATGTACGTACAGTGACAAATCTTGCACGCGTGTGACAGTGTCGACAGCCACTTCTCACGTCCCAATGGTGTGTCGACGAAGTGTACTGCCTCTCGTACTTGCGTCGGGAGTGATGACGGCAAGCTGTGACTGGACCGACATCACTTGCAGCCACTTGCGATGTTTCGAGGCCTGACGACAGTGTCGACACCTGTATCCATGTCGCAGCCGACCTCCGCGACACTGTTCGCTGCACACGGCGACAAGGCCAAGGTCTAACGATGTTTCACCCAACCTGGCGGGCTTATCGACTCTGTCGAATGCCTTTGTGATGTAGTTCGAGTGCTTATCGAGCTCTGTCGACGTCCTCGACGCAACTTGCCAATGACGTGTCATGTGCCAAGTCTTATCAGACACCGCAAAACTATATAAAGGCAGCTTCTAGGCGGTTCCCCACGTTCTTAAACGACTCTGCATCGTTCCTATCGCTCGAATCGACAACTCGAAACACCTCGAAACCTCTTTCGCATCTGAATCATCGCTATCGGTATGTCTCGCTGTCATCGATACTACCGACGACAGCTATCGCACTGCTGACGTCATAGCCATGGGATACAAACGAACTGCCAAGGTTGCTGCGACAGCCCGTGACATGCGCTCGACACGCACGAGCACCACCGTCGCCAACCGTGTGACTGTCGCCCCTGTCGCCAAAGTCAAGGCTGCCCACGGCAAGTCACTCGCCATGAACCGCAAGCGTCTGACTCCCACCGTCAATAAGCGCCACCCCATCGTCTGGATCGACAACACCGGTTTTGACTTCGGTGCCTATCCCGCCTGGCCGAAGATGTCGAAGCCCACCAAGCAGACCGCTGCGTCTGTCGAATCCTCTGACGCTGTGTTCGATGGTGACTCGACTCCTGGCTCTGCCGACGACAACGCCATCGCCCCACACGGGAACTTGAACCATGCCGTCGAGACTCACGACAGTGACGCCGAAGATGCCAACATCACCGACGATGATGCAGCCGCCTTCGATGGTGGTGGCGACAGTGACTCTGCTGACCTCGAGGGTCACAGCGACAACTCAGTTGCAGCTGACGCCGCTGCTGCTGATGTCTCGAAGCGCATCTCTCTTGACGTCTTCAACTCGCTAGGTTGGAACGCCGGTCTGCGTACTCCGACACGCTCACTCGACCCAGTCGCCTGGTGGCGCACTGTCGAGATCTCTGACGAGGCTATGTCAGAAGTCGAGCTCCTCGCCATCCTCAACCGCCTCTACCCGACAGACCTCGACAAGCGTAACCTTGTGGCGATCATCCGAACGAAGGGCAAGAAGAAGGGATTTCCCTGTCGCAAGAACGAAAAGCACAGCTACGACATCAAGGCGCGTCATCCGCCGCGCTGGCAGTGCCGCGACAAGTCGTGCAAGGACAACCTCCCTCTCGGCCAAGCGATGCGCTGGGTCGCTCAACTCATCATCAACGACTGGGTCCCCCGACAGGCTGTGGGCATCCCGTCTGCCAGGCGGCAGAGCGACACAGCGGACGACAGCCGTCGGGTCACCAACGACAAGCTCGGCGTCGTTCACCGTACCCCACTCAGCAGTGTCACTCCCCCTCGCCGCATCGACAAGGCATTCCGCCCACCTCCCGCCATCAATCGTCTCCGCTTCGAAGTCCCCGGCATGTCTCGACTTGTCCGACTTCCTGTCGAGCCTGCCTACTATCGCACGAGGTGGACAATCGGTGACGGCAACTGCCAGTTCCGTGCTTTCGCCAAAGCGTACGATGGAATCGACCACATCGCTGCTCGCAAGGCTGCTGTCGACTACATGTTCGAGAACTTCAAGCAGTTCGAGGCCTTCTACGCTGACGACGAGATGGAGAAGCAGTACGGCGACTTCGACATGTACCTCGACGCCATGGCGAAACAGTTCGAATACGGCGACCAGCTGACGCTCGCTGCCCTCGCTGCGTCGTACAAGGTCTCGATCAAGGTTCTTCACATGTCGCACACTCTCGACTATGAGTGGGTTGACGGCGGTGACAGCGACAGCGGTCGAGTCATCAAACTGTTCTTCAACGCCGGCACGAAGCACTACGAGAACCTCGTCGCTGCGAGGGACCTGTAGTCGACAGCTGTCGACAGTGGCGGAAATGATTAAGTAGTGAACGAAATGCTATCAGAATGTCTCGAAAGCTGTGTGGTGCAGTGGCAGGCGACTGTGAAGACGAGGGGTCACTGACGACAAGGAGTCGACATCACTCGGAATGTCGACAGGCTGTCGGAAGTCTCTCGACAGTGCACCGACGCAGTGTCGTTTGGACTTAGCCAAAATTTCAGCTGCCCAGAGTGGTGTAACTGGTCCACGTGCACCCGCAAAGGAGCTGGAGCGATGAAACTTGGTGACGTCATAGATATCCCCTAGATATGTTTCCACGTGAAACGGCCGATCCCTAGTCACAGTTCCGGTCACGTTTTCACCCATGTTTCTGTGCTGAAACTTCAAAGTGCCGAAAGTGTGACCGAAAATGGTCTCCGCGCAGAGTGGGGTAGCTCAATCTGCAGCAAAAAAATCACTCTTTCAGAGTACGTAATAATCCAGAGGGCGATTTTTGGCACCCCCCACCCCCGCCCACACATGTAACCCCTAACCCCTAAGGGACACTGCCCTTCCTTGAACTGGCTGTCAAGGTCACCACCAAACAAGGTCTCCTAGACAATGCCAGGTGGATGTCTCTCAGGGCAGAGTCTCTGTCCCTCTTCACTGGGGACAACAATGCTGCTGCCACCAGGCTGCAGAAGCAGGCTGTGGCTGATCTCTTGGCATCTGCTGGGTGGAATGCTGGCAGGAGACAGGTGACAGACTGTCTCTCACCCACTGCCTGGTGGTTGGAGGGACAAGGGACAGAGACAGTTGATGTCCCTGATTTGCCCTTTGTCCCTGGTGTCCCCAGCATCAGAGACAGCACCACCAGACTGAAGATCCTGTCTCACTTGACTAGGACATTCACTGGTAGGGAGGGACAGAAGAGACTGTTGTCCATTGTCAAGGGGGCAGTGGGGTATGTCCCTTGCCAGAGGGACATGTCCCTCTCTAACACCCACAAGTACTGGGTGAGGGACTGGTCCCCACTGAGACTGACTTGTGCCACCTGCAACCACAATATCTTTGAGGCTGCAGCTTACAAGTGGTTTGCCCAGCTGGTGGATGAGGGACATGTCTCTCAAGCTGCAGTGGGCATGGGGGACTCTGCTGTCTCTGGTGTCCCTGATGTCCCTGGTGTCCCTGGTGTGCTGGCTGTGCTGGAGACAGCCTCTCCAGTCACTGTCTCCCACTTGTCCCCCTTCTTCACATCCAAGAGACAGATCAAGGACATGCTTGCTGCCATCAAGGCCTCCCCACTGGGACATGTCCCTTGCATCAAAAACTCTGGGGACAACCACAAGTATCTGTCCCATGGATGGAAGCCATTCAGGCTCAGGTGCAACAAGTGCAAGCACAATCTCACACACAGCCAGTCTCTCAAGTGGATTGCTGTGCTGGTGGACAGGGGTGATGTCTCCAGAGAGACAGTGGGGTTGCCACCCATCAGTCCTGTCCCTGAGTCTCCCAACAGTCCCCCACCTACTGTTGCTAGCAAGCACCTGCCTTTAAGGAGGCAGAGGCCTTGTCCCTCAGATGTAGTGCATGTCCCTAGTCTGACTAGAGTGAGTGTCCCTGTCACTTGTGTCCCTCTGTCCCTCTGTCCCCCTGTCCCTCTGTCTCTTGCTCACCATCACAGACTGCTGCTGTTGTCCCTTCAATCACTCCATTCAACACCCTCACTCATGTCCCTGTCCATCTGGTCTCCCATGTCCCTGGTGTCCCCTTTGTCTCTAGAGTCTACAAGACATCTTGGATCCCTGGTGATGGCAACTGCATGTTTGCAGCCTTTGCCAGAGCTCTCAACAGGGACTTGTCCCCCAGGGACACAAGGGATGCTGCAGTCAAAACTGTGGAGGACAACCAGGACAAGTACCAGGGCTTCCTTGTAGGACAGCCTATGCTGTTCTACCTGAGGAACATGTCCCAGCCAGGGACATGGGGGGACAACCTCATGCTTCAGGCTCTGTGTGACACATACAGTGCTCATGTCTATGTCCTCAAGAGACAAGGAGGGACATTCTCCTGGCATGAGGCTGGGGACAGGGACAGAGCCAGCTCTGCCTTCTACCTGTCTCTGGAGAGTGATCACTATGAGAACCTGGTAGGCCATTCCCAACTTGCTAGTCAGTAGTACTTGAAAGTGATGTAATGTGTGTGTCTCTCTGTCTCTGTCCCTGTGTCCCTGTCTCTGATGGCTGAGAGACAAGTGTGATGGTGAGCACAGCAATAATGGTGGTGATGACCAAGGTTGTTGTGACAGTGAATGGAGCATAACTGGTGATGTCCCTGGAGCCAGGTTCAAAGTGAGGGACATGTCTCCAGGGACATGTCTCTGGGGACATGAGGGTAGTGTGGAGGGACATAGTGGTGATGAGCAACAGTGTTGTGACAGTGAGCAAAGCATAAGTGATGAACATGTCATGAATTGGTGATGTCCCTGGGGACAGGCTTACAGGGAGGGACATGTCTCTGGGGACATGGTGGGAGTGTGAGGGACACGTTGGTAGTGAGCAGCAGTGTTTTGACAGTGAGCAAAGCACAAGTGATGAGCTAGGCAAGAATCAGTGATGTCTCTGGGGACAGACTGACAGTGGGGGACATGTCTCTGGGAGACAGTGATGTTCAGCAAGGACTCATTGATGATGAGCAAGGCCCGATAGATGGCCTGGAGGGAGCATACAGTGGCTAGGTCACTGTTGGCCAGAGAGATTGAGGGACACAGTCACTGACAGGAGGGACAGGTGAGGGACAACAGTGAGCAAGGGTTGTCTGACAGTGAGCAGCACCTGGGACACAGTGAGCAAGGCCCCTCATCCCAATACTAATCCAGGTCAGAATTTGTAATCAGGTCACCTCACCCATTAGAAACCATTAGAAAAGTTACTAATGGAAATCAGTTTTTCAATGATTTCTCCGCTGTCAGCACACATATTGAGATTCCGATTTCACTTTCCTGGGTCTTTATCGACCCCCTATTGAGGGCTCCAGTCCGTTTCTGGCACAGATGCCCTGAATACGCAGAACGACTATGTCAGAATGATGGTGAAACACGACTTTGCTCATATCTCGGGAACCGTGAAGGCCCCGGACATCAGAGTTGGACTATTTGAAAGGGCTTTAAAAGGGCTACAAGATGCATGATTTTGCGGAGCCAGGGCATCGACGGATCACGAAATCCCCAAACTCCCGGAACACCCAGACCAGCCTATAACACACGACACAGCCAGGGCATTCCCACAACATGTGCAAGTCACATTGAAGACACGTGCAATACACTCACATTACACGTTCAATAGATGTGCAATACACATGCAAAGCACATGAAGACATTGCCAAAGACTCATGGAAGACACGTGCAAGACACACAGAACACACTCAGGACTCACACAGGATGTACCCTGGACACACGCAGGACGCACACAGGACACACGAATGGCACTCATGTGCAAGTGGCTGCATGGTAGTAACTTGGCGGATGACAGTGAGGGATCGGTGGACAGCCGCAAAGATGATCTGAGGGCATCATCCCTGTTTCAGACACACACGGTGGGCTGGTCGTGGAGCCACTGAGGCTGTCAGGCACACAGAGTCACCGCAAAACAGCAGGGGAGTTGTCCCCCTTTTCTCTGAAAAGGCCAATGTGGAAAGGGGGGACGTCCCCCTATTCCCCAGCCAGCCATGATGTGGAAAAGGGGGCAGTCCCCCCATTCCCCATCATGACCTTTCGTGGAAAAGGGGGAAGCAATTTTCAAAGCTCCGTATCTCCGCAACTGCAACAGCGACGCGCGTGAAACCACTTTTGCAGACCTTTTTGGATCCAGATCTATGATTTCCAGTGTTTAAAGACCCGAAATTCCGACATGACTGATTCAGCTGAAAATCTTGTTTCGGCCGAAAACTCGGCGACCGCCGCGCGTGCCGAAGAACGAAAGATGGTTCCAAAACCGCAAAAAAAGACTGTTTCTTGTGCCTTAAACGAGAAGTGTGAAATACGACTTTCACCTAGGACATTCACTGGTAGGGAGGGACAGAAGAGACTGTTGTCCATTGTCAAGGGGGCAGTGGGGTATGTCCCTTGCCAGAGGGACATGTCCCTCTCTAACACCCACAAGTACTGGGTGAGGGACTGGTCCCCACTGAGACTGACTTGTGCCACCTGCAACCACAATATCTTTGAGGCTGCAGCTTACAAGTGGTTTGCCCAGCTGGTGGATGAGGGACATGTCTCTCAAGCTGCAGTGGGCATGGGGGACTCTGCTGTCTCTGGTGTCCCTGATGTCCCTGGTGTCCCTGGTGTGCTGGCTGTGCTGGAGACAGCCTCTCCAGTCACTGTCTCCCACTTGTCCCCCTTCTTCACATCCAAGAGACAGATCAAGGACATGCTTGCTGCCATCAAGGCCTC